TTCTGTCACTCACTCTCCTAACTTTGGAGCCTCTCTGAGAGACCAGAGATTCTCCTGGATGCCCTCTCAGTGCCTCAGGCTCCCTTAGCAAGGTGAAAAGAATTTAACTGTCACAGTGGGCTGAGTTCTGACAAATGCTTATATTCCTGTAGCCCACATCCTGTCAGGATATAGAGCATTTCAAACTCCTCAGAATGTTTGCCTTCCCAGTTAAAACTCTAACGGAGGCAGCTGCTGGCTTTCTTTCTTTCTTTTTTTTTTTTTTTTTTTTTGTCTTTTTTTCGTTTTTATCGGTACCAGGGATCAAACTCACGACTGCCTGCTTACAATGCAGGCGCTTATGCCACTGAGCTAAATCCCCGGCCCCTCTTTCTTTCTTTGTCCTTCCTTCCTTCCTTTCTCTCGACAAAGCCTCACTATATAGTTCAAGCTGGCCTTGAACTCACTATGTAGTCCAGGTTTGTCTGAACTCACAGTGATTCTCCTGTCTCAGTCTCCTAAGTGCTTGGACTACAGGCATCCACCACCTCCCCCAGTAACTCTTTTGACATTTTACTTCGTGAAAAATTTTAATTATTTTATTTTTTTCAAATATATTTTATTTCAAAGAGGGAAAAAACAAAAAAATTCAAAACACATCAACCAGGGGCAACAATGGTACATACACTGTGCATTGTTGCCCCCAAATCATTCACCCAGAGCACAGGACATCTGCATTCAATTATCCAAACAACACCAGCACAAATCTTTCTCTTCAGTGAATTCAAAGAAATCAGTAGTATAACTCTCTTAACTATTTTTTATATACATATTCATACACATATACATACGTTGTTTCAGCTTCTTACACTATTGAAACAAGGTTTACACATGAGTGTCTGATTTACCATGAGAAATTTTAATTGCAGTATCAGGAATTGAACTCAGGCCCTGGCATGCATGGTAAAGGTCTACCTGTAAGCTATATCGTTAGTTTTTTTTTTTGAGCTAGGGTCACCCTATATTGTGCAGTGACAGTGGACTTTTGACGCTCCTGCCTCAGCCTCCTGTGTAGCTGAGTACCCCAGTGTGTGTGGGAATACCAATTTTAATTCTATTTAGGGCGTGGGGGCTTGGTGGAAGTGTGGGAGGAGATAGTTTTTTGTTAAGTATTCTTCCTAAACTATTGTTTATGCAGGGATCTGGGCTGTTACATGGGGAGGAGAAGAATGACCCAACAACAAAGAAATAATTTCCTTTGTTTCTACTTGTGTTAAAGCTTCCCTTTCCCTGGAACAGTGAAGGCTGTGACTTTAATCAAATTTGAGAGAGAAAAATGGGGGTTCATTAAAGAAAGGGATACCATCCACATACCCATATAGTTTTCTTATCTCAATCCTCCAATACCTCCACTGTGCTTCTTCTAAAACCCTAATTATTGGAATTTCTAAGTTTCTGTCCTCCATCATCTATCAACTTAAAAAAACTCTGACATCTAACTGTTGATCCAATAAATAAATTTATGGAACAGATAATACAAGGCTATGCTAGGCCACAAGCTGCTAAAACATTACTAAAGTATCCAGTCCATCCAGGAGTTATGGTTTGGTAGGGAAGATCAACATACTCACAGCAAATTAATAATCTAAATCAAATCCTCCTCCTGAGTTCTCTATCTTGGTGACTGAGACCAACTACCCACTCATATTCCCAGAGCCCTGCAAGCCTTCCTCCTCCTCTTTCACTACTCCACGTGCTGAACTAACCAGTCACGGAGTCTACGGGTTTTGCCTTTACTATAGCTCTAAAATACATCCCTCTGCGCCACCTTGGCTGCCCTGACTTTGTTCAGGGCTCCCTCATCCCTCCTCTAGATCATGACCATCCAGCCACCACGCCAGTCTGACCAGTCAATTCCCTCGATCCCCATCATCTACAGGAGAAGGTCCACAGTTCTAACCATCACCAACAAGGCTCCCAACTAGCCCACCCTGCCCACCTTCAGTCTTACTCCTGCTGCTGCAGCCACACTTTCTGCCATGGCTCCTTAGGCGCCACGCTGTTCTGCATTTATGAACAGCCCATTCTCACTTCCACTAGACACTGTTTAGAACACCTCCCTGTCTGTCTCCAGCCATGACATATGCACAAGCAAACTGGTGTCTTATTTCTGGTACCAGGGCTGTGATTTTGTGTTTTTCTGAGACAGGGTCTTGTTATATAGTTGGGACAGGCCTTGAATTCATAGCAATCCTCTTGCCTCAGCCTCCAGGGTGCTGGGATCACAAGTGTATGCCACCACACTTGGCTAAGATCTGTGTGTTTCTGTGGCAACCTGTGCCACCCTCTCATTGTGTCTCTCTCATTGGTCTGAGAGTTCCTTGGAGCAGAGGATCATCTCTGTGTCCTCGGTGCCTAGAACAGAGTAGGGCACAACATAGGCCAAGGCACTATCCTAAACCCCTTTTACACTCCCAATCAACCCTTATGACATCCTGTGAGGAAGGTGTTATGGTGTCCATTTCACAGTTGAGGACCCTGAGAGCACAAGCAGCTTGTCCAAGACACACCAATCAGGAGGTAGCAGAAATGGGTTTTAAACCCAGGCAGTCAGGCTCCATGTGTGCCTCTGAATCATTGTGCCCAACTGCAGCTCAACATCTATGTGTTAATCTACATGTTATATATCTATGTATATGCACAGAATGAATAATGATCCCATTTTATTTCCCTGTCTCAATATGTCCTGTTGTAGTCAGGGCTTGCAAAGGAAACAATTTAACACAGGACATATAAAATATAGAATTATTTTATAATAGTCACCCAAAAAGTCAAATACAGAAAGTACAAGAAATGTGTCGGGCTGGGGATTTAGCTCAGCGGCATAAGGGCCTACTTTGCAAGCGCATGGTCGTGAGTTTGATCCCCGGTACCGATAAAAAAAAAAAAAAGGAAGAAAAAAAGAGAAATGTGTCCACGCACTAAAGACCCCAAGAATACAGTTGAGGGCCAAGATCCCATGGCAATATTCTGCATGAGTCCAGTTGAGGGCCAAGATCCCATTGCAATATTCTGCATGAGTCCAGCTGAAGACCTAGATCCCATGACAATGTCTCATCCAAGTCTGTTTCACAGATCTGTACTGGGAAGGTCCAAAGGTCAAAGATGGAAACCAGAAAGTCTATGCCAATGGGATGAAGAACCTGTGCCAATAGGCTGAAGGTTCTGCACTTGAGCCAGGAAGTGATGTTCAAAGTAAGGATCAGAGCTTCCCCCCAAAAGTACCACAGCCATTGCCAGTGACAAGGTCCTAAGCTCCTCTGACCATGAGAACAGCCAAATTCATATTAAGAAGGAAGTTCCAAAAGCTTCTCCAGGAGAACCAATGGCAACAGGAGAACCAACAACAACAAAGAGAACCAACAACACTACTTCTTCCTTTGCAGTTCTCCTTTCTATGTTGCTGGCAACAATCCTCAGGTACCCAGCACCACGCTGATTCAGCTCAGCTGGTGTTATAAATTATCCACCAGTTGTCAATTCACCACATGTCCAAAACCAAATTAAGTAATTTTTCCTGCTAATAGCTTCCTCTCCCCATATCTATCTCCCAGGGTCTCAGAGAAGTCTAGAGTCTTTGACTTCCACTTCTCTCCTCTCCCTTCCTTAACCTCATTCATTACATGATGTTTTGTTTTGTTTTGCCATAGAAACATCAGATTAGCTCCTTCCCCTCTGTTCTCAATTGCTGTCTTCCTAATCTGGCTTCTCTCTTACACTGGAGATCACAGCAGTGTCCTGACTTCACTACCTTCCTCTTTTGGAACCTTAGGTTTGCATGCATTTTTATTTAACCTCATAATCCATGAGCTCGATGCTATTATTTACATTTTTAAAATGAGGAACTGAACGATAGAGCGCAGATTCAAAAGGGTTGTTTGACTCTGAGGACTCTCCCTGATCCTAAGAGACTGGTGACCTTGGGCAAGTCACTTAACCTCCCGGAGTCTCAGAATCCTCATTCATAAAACGTAGAGCATAAATAACAGCAATTACCTCATTGTGAGAGCAACAGGGACAACACTTAGAACCCTACTACATAGTAGGTGCTCAGTGATAATCAGCAATTAAAACAATACCCACCCAGGAAGGCGACAATATATCTAACACATAGTTGTCTATCTGGGAGAGTTCTTGAATTATGGCTGAGAAGGAGTTACCCTATCTATTCTCTTTTTGAACCCTCAGAAGTGCTCTCTCCTGGGAAACACCTATTTTAAAAAACAGGCTGTTTTTTAAAATTAGCTAAAAGGTTACTCGAAAAATGTGCTGCGAAAGAAAATACACACCATTTGGTGAGAAGAGCATAGGATTTGTGTCTCTGGCCTGTCCAGGTGGGCAGTCACAGATTTTTTTTTTTTTTTTGGAGACAAAGTCTTTATATGTAATTTAGGCTGGCCTTGAGCTCTCTTTGTAGCCCAGGTAGTCTCAAACTCGCAACCATCCCCCTGCCTCAGCCTCCCTCCCGAGTGCTGGGATTATAGGCATGCACGCCTAGCTCCACACAAAATCTTGAAACTTCTCTGAATTTATTTTATAATCTTCAAAGTGGGACAATACCATCCCCTCAAGTTTTGAAATGATGCACACACAGCCTTTAGTACCTTGTACGACCTAGACAAAAGGAGTTACGTGGCCTTATCACAATAGGATAATGTGCACGAGGATAGTTTATTGTTGGGTACAGGATGAGATTGATTTACATATCATATATATATATATATATGTATTAGAAGTAAAGGAAAAGGATGATACAAATCAGTTCTGGCTACAGCATTCAAAAACCTGTCGGCCCTCCTCCCCAGCCTGAGAGCAAGGCAGAGTCCCACCCCCAGTCCCAAGTGACGAAGGGCCAAGGCCCCGCCTATAAGGCGGAGCCTATCTTGGTTATGTCAGCACCAGTGCGGAAGTGGAGCAAGGACCCTTGTTTGTGATTGGCTGCAGTCGAGGGCCCAGGGGGCGGGGTCAGAGCGACGGTCGCGCAGAGAGGAGACTGCAGCGGGGGCCGGCTCCCGAGTCTGGGATTTGGCCCGTGGTGCTGACCTAGAGCTAGAACAGTGGCCGTCCGGGCACCCTGGCCTGAGCGCCCGCTCGCTGCTCAGGGTCCTTCGGGCCAAAACGCAGGAGGCCAGTGAGTGAACAGAGGAAGGCCAAGAGGGCGAGAGCGCCCTGTGAGCCGAGCAGCTGAGGCGGCCGGGGGCCCGGGCGCCATGTCCATGGAGGACCCCTTCTTTGTGGTGAAGGGGTGAGTGTGGGTCTAGGGCTCCCTTGGAGAAGGGAGTGGCGGTGCTGGCTGCCCGCACCTCCCCGGTTTCCCTGTAGAGGGAGGGGAGGCAGGTTGAGGTCGGGAGGGGACGGGGAGAGGGCTTAGCCTTGAGGGCCATGACCGAGCGCCGAGACATCTTCTCCTTGTCCTACCTGAACTGGGAAGCCGGAGCCTCTCACCGGGCTCCCTGGCCGGGGTCTCCTTTTGGCCTGCGAGGTGTGGTACAACTTATTTGGAGGCCGAGGGGTTCAGCAGCTCTGCAGGTGGGGAAGGAGGACTGGGGCTGTCGTCGAACACAGGACCCTGCCTGGAAGGAGCAAAACAGCATCTGGGCAGGAAAAGGGAAATGACCCTCTTGAGCTTTGTAGTTGGCGGTGACAGGGGTGAGCTCCATTGTCCATTGAGTTGGGAGAGCTCGCCCGCAGACTGGCGAGACCACAACATGCCCGGAGGCGTCTGAGCACGTTTGCAGGGAGGCGGGCGGGGGCGGGTGTTGATCTGGGAGGCTGGGGAGCCCGACGCCGGAAGACGGCTGGAGTCCGTGCCGGGGGGAGGCGGGGGGAGAGTTACTGACTAATGGGAGGAAAGCAGTCCTTCTTGTTCGTTGCTGATGTTGGAAGGAAAACAAAATGAAACCAGCCAAACTAAACTTTGCTCGGCTTTCTGTGAGCAACTGGGATTTTCCCACAGTGCCAAAGGAAATGACTTTGTTTTTAACTCCTTGATTTCGTACACCTTTTTTTTGATACGTTTACCCCACTACTGCTTACTCTGCCTCTCAGAATTGGGAGTTGTCTTCATTCTGTCTTTGATTTGCCAGATTGGAGATGCGCAGAAACTTCCGATGCACTTAGCGTTGTATTAGCTTTGTCGTCATTAAACCAATTACAGGAAAGATCAGTTCTGCTGTAACATTTCTGATAACTTGCCGATTTTATGTTTTTAATGTCAAACCAAACGCAAAAAATCTTAAGAACTACCAAGTTCCTAAAAGATGAGTGGTTAGTACCACTATGAAGTGTTCCCTTAACTTTCAACTAGTTGCTACTAGCTTCCTATTTCATAGTGGTAAAAGCTGACAAGTTGTATTGGTGATTTGTTTTGTGTTTAAAGGTTTCCAGAAAATTTACATGTACTTCAAATGAAATATTTTATTATCCATCATACAATGAAATGTATATATCTTAACATTTCCATAAAGGTTTTTTTCTTCACCTTACTGTAATTTATATGAGAAAAAGGTAAATTGTAGATTTACAAGTAATATTGGTTCCCTACCTGGAAAGTATGTTGTTAATTAGAAGAATTGATTAGTTAAGTTTTGAAATTTAAAGTTGCGTATTTTTTCCTCGAATGGATTTATATTTTATTTTCTTTTTTATTTATTTATTTATTTTTTGGAGAGGATTTCACTTTGTAGCTCAAGCTGGCCTTGGACTCATTATGTAGTTCACGCTGGACTTGAACTTACTATCTAGCCCAGTTTAGCCTCAAATTGCATTGCATGGATCCTGTCTCAGCCTCCCTCAAATGCTGGGATCATAAGGGCATCTCACCAATCTTGATTTGAATGTAAGTTCATAATGTTTAGGTTACAGAAGTTATTGGAGATAACCAGACCTTTTTTTTTTTTTTTTGTATTTTCTGCTGTCAAAAGGTAAAGTCAGCCATTTGGGTGTTTATATGGTGGTATATTTGGAGAACCATAGACTTCTGTTCAAGAAAGTATTGAAAACACGCACAACATTGACAAATTAAGGATGCCTAAGTAATGGCCCCTCTAGTAGGAACTTGTAGTCTAGTCTGAGAAGAAATGACTTCAAAATTAAATAGAAATGACAGGCACTAAATGATTAAGTGCTGAAGTGAATACTACAGATGGTAAGCATCCCAGCTAAGAGAAAGGCAGCTCCTTAGCAATTGGTGTGGTGGGAAAAGCTTTTGGAAGTGGTAGTAGTGCATTTTGAATTTGGTTTTGAAGGTAGTCAGAATTTAGGTAATTCAGGGTCATGTGTTGTATCTGGATCTGTGAAAGTCTCATAATTTATCTTCCTGATTTCAGTCTCTTTCTTCCATCCTTGGATGTATTTGGTTGGCATTGTTCAGCAGAAAATGCAGTACAAGTCGCATGTCATTTTATATTTTTTTGTATTACATTAAAAAGAAACATGAAATTAATTTTAATGTCTTTATTCACATTATTTCAGCATGTTGTTAATGCAAAGATTACTATTGAAATGGTTTACCTTTTTCTTTTTCTTTTTTCTTTGGTACCGGGGATCAGATTCACAACCTTGAGCTTGTGCCACTGAGCTACATCCCCAGCTCCCTGGTTTACCTTTTTGTGTTAGTTTTATAGTGTTGTTTTATATTCACATCCCATTTTAATTCTTCTTTGTTTGAGACAGGGTCTCCTTATATAGTTGAGGCTGGCCTTGAATTCATGGAGATCCTCCTGACTCAGCCTCCTGAATGCTGGGATTATAGGTGTGTGCCACCATGCCCAGCCTCATTTCAGTTTGGATGTTAAATTTTCATCAGAATATTTGATCTGTATTTAGAGTTCTTTAAACGTAACAGTTGAAAAGGTGAATTCACATACCATAGTTTTTCCAAACATACGTAATAGTTTTCTGGCAACTGGAATTGCATATCAGATTTTAAAATTTAAAATAATTAAAATTAAATTTTGTTATTTTGTCATAATCGCCACATTTTAAGTCAGTAGTCATATGTGGTTTCCATGTTGGACAGGGCAGTGCTGCCTTTGTAGGCCCAAGCAGCCATATCCTACTTACTATCATTCAGTGAATGCCTGTTGCCTATCAAATACAGTGAGAGGCTTCATCACCCTCATGCAGCCCTTTGGCCTCCAGCAGCCTACCCACGCTGAGTCTCAGTGCTCCAACAGAGCTGGACTCAGTTCGGTGACTGCTCTTATTCCACATGCACCGGCTCTGCCTGACTCACCCACTCTTCAGTGCAAGTATCTCCACTGCCTCCAGGGAGGACCTCTCTTAGCACAGTGATACATTATTGGGCTTCTTCTCTGGCCATCTTGCATTATTAGACTGAGTTGTGAGAGTTGGGACCGTTTGTTTTTCCTGTATTTCCAGCTTGACACCTTGAAATACAGTGTAAATGTTGAATGCATACTCTGTAGTTGTTGGTGGCTGGGGTGATGGTGGTGAAGGAGTGGTACTTCCTGTGTGAGACCACTACCAGCAAAGGTCATGAGGGAGCATTTTGTAGGCATCATGGAGGGGAACCAACCTGATGGGTAGGTGCTTTTTTTTTTTTCTTTAGGGGAAGTAAGACTCATAGCTAACATTTAAATGATACATCTCCTGGGCCAGGCATTTGTGTGCTAAGGACATTGTGTGCAAAGGAAATACTTTATGTGGATTTAAACCTTGTTAGGACAGCCAGATGATGGGAATATTAACCCCAGAAGAAATCAAAAGCTAGGGTTAATTTACTAACACAGGGTCACACAGCTAGTGGTAAACCCAGGATTCACATTTGAGCAGCCTAATTTTACTCATGCTATTAATTTCCACAGTACAAGTAAAATAGGGTAAGTTCTGTTGACTGAAAGAGAATCAGTGTGAGGCACATTTTAAAGAATAGCAGATAGAAAGCTATTGCAATTTAAATGTACCATGTTTAAGGCTTTTTGTGAGGTTTTGACATTGTCAGTGCCTTGTTTGGAGCAGAGTTCCAGAGCAAGAGTTACTTTTTAATCCTTGTGATGTAGGCACTGTTTTATCACTATTTCCTAATGAAAACAGTTACACTTGGTTTTTTAAAAATCTACATATTTATAAGCATTTCAATTGAAAAGCCAGGAATTATATATATATTTCTATTATTATTAAGTTTAACATTTGGCATCTTACATTGTATGTTATTTTTATAAAAATTATTTTATAATTATTTTTTTTAAACCATCTTTTGGGGGCTTTTAATTACTATATTATGTTTTATTTTGTTTTTTGAGACGTTTTATTTTGTTTATGTAGTTCAGGCTGGCCTTGAACTCACTAGATAGCCTAAGCTGCCCTCAGATTCGCAGCAATCCTCCTGTCTCAGCCTCTCAAGTGTGGGGATTACTGATGTGGGTCAACTATATTATGTTTTGACGTATAACTATAATTTGTATGTTACTATGGACATTACACTGTATTATATTAATACAATGATAAGCTACTCGTCAAAGGCCTTTATTGTCACTTGTGATTTCATAGCCTATATTTCTGTTGCATCATTACTAAGCTAGAGGATATGCACAACAAATCTTTTTATGCATATTACCAGATTGCCCTATAGACTATATACCCTGCCATTCCTCTCAAAGTGTTTAAGGGACTCATTTCTCTAACCCCTTGCTAGTAACTTGGGTGATAAGTACCATATCTGAATCCTCTTTATCTTTGTATTTAGTAGGGACTTATCTACTGTTTGATGAATGAACTACTTTGAATTTTTGGTTGTATAGTCTTTTTGTTTCTTTAACTTGTGAACTTTTAGAATTAGCTTTTTAAAATTTGCAGCTTCTGATAAAACAAGCCACTGAAAAAACACTTAGTTTTTCACATTTAGATCTGAGAGTACACTCATGAGTCACTTAACGGTGAGGATATATTGTTAGAAATGCCCTATTAGGCAGTTTTGTTGTGTGACATCACAGATATACTTATGGGAACCAAGATGGCTATGACATCACCAGGCCATAATCTCATGGTACAGCTGTTGCATATGCCATCCGTGGTTGACTGAAACAGCATATGTTGTGTATGATGACTTGGTATTGGTATTGGTATTGGCATCGTATGTTGTTAACATAAGCTGCCCATGGATGGGTAGCTCCTTGATATTTTGCTTTTTTGGAAGTTGGGTGTACCTGACAAAGGTAGTTTTATTTCAGGTTCTTTGTTTTAAATCAGTATTGAAATAATGAAGTCAATAAGCAGATGAGTAGGGTGATACATGGTATGGTGTATTCTCTTAACACTTGCCTGTATATCTCAGGTTGTCTCTTATGAGCTTCACAAGGACAAGCAGCATGCATTTTATTCACTTTTGAGAAAACTGGCTTTTGGTAAGGTCATGATAGCGAAATTAACCCTTGTTTACAAGAAAAATTTTGGCCTAGTAAAATCAAATGTAAATCTCATTTAATACATTTAAAAAATTAGAACTGGGTGTTCATTTTAAAAACAACCTCCAAGGATTATGAAAGTTCGTGACTAATATTTGGCTCCTGAAATTGTAATCCAGTTTGGAAAGCACCGTGCAGATATGTGCAAAAGTATTTGTGAAAGATACTTGTGTGTAAGGTTGTGGGACAGAGTTGAAAAAAGGAAAGGTCTGTAGTAGAAATGTCAAAGATACTTTAATACATTAATTTAAGGCAAGCAAGGCCTTAAAGAAGAGTTGGCTTTTCGTTTGCAGGGGTGTAAGGGCTCCCCCAGGC